TTGACAGTGCATCCGCCTGGTTGTTTTCTGATCTCGGCACTTGGATCAGATGGAAATCCTCAAGGGAGCCGACTGCTTGTCGGACCGCCTGTAAATACTTGATCATGGCCGGATGGGTTGCTTCGTATTCGCCATTGAACTGACTCACTATCAATTGTGAATCGGAACAGGCGTCTATTTTTCTTGCCCCTGCCGCCTTGCACATGCGGATCCCGGCTAGTAAAGCTTCATATTCTGCCTCATTGTTTGAGGCCTGAAAACTGAAGCGTAAAGCATACTCGTACCTGTCTCCCTCTGGCGACTGACATATGACGCCTGCTCCACAACCATTTGAAGTAGAGCTTCCGTCCACATATACCTTCCACAATGACCGCCTGCACCTTCTCAGGGTTCGCCTCTATTCCTCTCTGATTGATAAGGAATCCGAGAAATTTCCCAGACTCAACCCCAAATACACATTTCTTGGGATTGAGCATGACATGGTGCCGCCTGAGTGTGGCGAAAGTTTCTCGGAGGTCCGACAGATGATCTTTCTGAAGTTTAGTCTTGACAATCATATCATCAATGTATGCCTCGACATTTCTCCCAATCTGGTCAAAGAACACAGTGTTTATCATTCGCTGGAAGGTAGCCGGAGCATTCTTAAGACCAAACGGCATAACCGTGTAACAGTATAACCCCTGATCAGTGACGAAGGCCGTCTTCTCCTGATCTTTCTTCCATAAAGGAATTTGATGGAAACCAGAGTAGGCGTCCATAAAGCTCATCAAAGCATGGCCGGCTGTTGAGTCGACCAGATTATCAATTTTAGGCAGAGGGTAACTGTCTTTGGGGCACGCCTTGTTTAAGTCTGTGTAGTCTATACACATTCGCCAGGTGCCATTCGGCTTTTTAACAAGCACCACATTTGCAACCCAGTCTGGGAAGTAACATTGCCGAATGAACCCTGCATCAAGTAATTTTTTCACTTCGGCGGCTGCCGCCTGACTTCTTTCTTCGCCATGGTTCCGTTTCTTCTGCCGTACCGGCTTCTTTTTTGGATCCACGGCCAGTTTATGTACCGCTAGATCAGGACTAATGCCTGGCATTTCATGGACTTCAAATGCAAAGATGTCCTTGTATTCTTTCAATAGTTTGTGAAAGTCGTCACCAAGGTCTCTCAGAGCAGTCGTCCTAACTTTGACTGTTCGATCAGGACGTGAGTCGTCTAAGATCAGGTCCGTATGCTCACCAGCCGGCTGAGGGCGGAACTCATCCGACCGCTCCTCTGCCAATGATTGCTATTTTCTTTCTTTTTTTGCGGCCCCTGTCTGGGATGCCTTTCTCTTCTTGCCGCCTGCTTCTTGAACAGGCGCAATCTTCTTGACATTGTCAAGGTCTGTTTTTTCACCACTTGACCCAGTGGCCATAACAGTGGGCCTGGACATCCGAGAGATAGCACTCTCGGGCCATCCTCTGATCTCCCCTTAGGGAGCCGACTGTTCCATTATCCCTCTCAAACTTGAGCAACATAAGAGATGGGATTATAACAGCCTTGGAATTATTCAGGGTTGGACGACCCAGAATCATGTTGTAGGCCGAGAGTTCTTCTACTACCAGGAAACGGACTACCATGTGTCGTCCTTCCCCTTTTTCGCCCAGACGGATGGGTAAATCCACTCGTCCCACTGGGTGGACGACTCCTCCTCCAAACCCTACTAAAGGGTGGGAGGCCGGACGTATGCAATCAGTCTGATATTTTAGTTTCGACAGACATTTGCTACTGATGAGATCTGAGGAGCTTCCGGTATCTATGAGGATTCGGCCAACCCTCTGGTTGGCCACTTTACATTCAATAACGATAGGGTCGTCATGCGGCCCTCTTACCCCTCCTAGATCTTCTTCAGTGATGACAATCTCAGGAAATGAATATTTGGACGGCCGTTTTTGGTGAACGGAATTTACATCTAACCGCCTGATATTGTCTTTGTTGCCCCTAATAGTGGGGCCGCCTCCTGAGAAGCCGCCTGCAATGGTGTAGACGACTGCATCATCTGTATCGGAGCTGTCGGCCTGTTGATTCTTTTTGGCCGACTGCTTTTTTGAGGAAGTGTTCCCCGTGGATTTCTTGACATAAGTGTCAAGATTACCTTGCTCAGCCAGGCGGTCCAGATACCGCATGAGACTGATGCAGTCATTGGTGTGATGACCAACATCATCATGATAAGCACATAATTTATCTTGGTTCCGGTTGTTTGCGGAACCCTTCATGGGGACCGGCTTCTCAATTGAGATCCGTCCCTTGATTTCTTTCAGGATAAACTGGTTATCCTTGTTAAACGCATACTTTGGGGAATATGGTTTGAATTCTTTTTTCTTTTTCTGGGCCGGCTGTTTGGAGGAATCAGCCGCCCAGACCTCTTTTCTTTTCTCGTCTTTGTTGAACGACTGCTTCTGTCGTCCTTCTTTTTTGTCGGACCTTTTACCGTCCGACTGTCTTCCCGTACTACAAAGATCAGTCGCCTGTATATAGGCTTCCGCTTCAATCAAGGCCTCTTGAAGAGTCGCCACCCTCTTTCGGACCAAGTCAAATTTGAAGGTCGACCCGTCCTTGAGACCTCTGAAAAAGTCAGTATAGGCTACCTCATCCGGTAACCCTTGAATCTGTATTCTCATCAGGTTAAACCGCCTGATGTAAGAACGAAGACCCTCCTTCTCGCCCTGCTGAATTGTTCCTAAATCAAGGGTCGTTTTCTTCGCAGGGATGTTCATGGCGAAGTTGGAGGTGAATAAGTAAGCAAGCGTCCTGAAACTATTTACACAACCAGTCGGCAGGTTGTCGAACCATTGTTGTGCGATTCCTTTGAGAGTCGCTGGGAAACACTTGCACCAGGTGGGATCATCCAACCCTTGAAGGTACATCAGGTTGGTGAAGGCCATAAGATGGTCTTCTGGGTTAGTAGTGCCGTCATAGGCGCCTACTAATACATTTTTCACTTTGGCCGGCTGAGCGGCTTCAGTAATTTCCTTGGAGAAGGCCGACGGCTGTTCACCAAGTCTAAGCAACCGTAGCTGCCAGTCCATAGGTTGGACGTTTTTTGCTGCAGGTCCACCAAACGGAGGTGGCTGCAAAAAATACTGTTGTTGCGGCACAAATGGTAAGTTTGGTACCGCCTGGTCGCTATGAAAGCCGGACTGACGGGAGGTGCCGCCTGACTGACTCTCATGATACGACTGAGTATGCCTCATCGAGGCATTTCGCAGACTGTCTTGAAAGTTTAAAGTAGAGGCCAACTCTGACAATCAGTCACTCTTCTTCTGCTCTAGCAGTAGCCGAGCGTCTGTGAATGTTTGCTTCGACCCGTCCGCCTGAATATGACGAACAGGTTTCCTATTTCCTGTAGGAAAACGGAATTTTGTGAAATCAAGGGCAGGTGGCTCCCGCTTCCTGGATTTAGGATGAGGAGTCGCCTCTCGCCCTTGAACTGGCTTCCTCTTCAGTGAAGTGGAGGGCTTCTTAGCCGACTGCTCCTTGACTAGAGCAGGCGGCTTCTTGTTGATCAACTCTTGAATCTCTCCCTTGAAGTCCCTCATGAAGGTCATGAGTTCGTTCCTTGTGATGGGAGCAGACCCATCAGTCGGCTGCTGCCGAACAGGCGGTGCGCCTGCTGGCTCGCTTCCTGTTTGAAGATGTTCCCGTTCCCTTCTTTCGGTATGAGGGGTACGTCGGGCCCTTAGGGTCCCGTCTGAAGCTGTGTGAGCTTCAACTTCAAATTCACTCTCAGTATCATGGTCCGACTGAACTTGAGGGTCGTCTAGGGGACGCCTCTCTTCAGGAGTCGGTACAGACTTGGATGCCATCTCAGAAGTACACTCCCCACAGACGGCGCCAAATGTTTCGGGGTTTTCTGATGTCCTGCGGGAGTGTTACAATTCCGAGATTGGAACCGGACGCCTGTACCTGCAAAACAACGGAGACTCCTGGTGGTGGGAGCTCCGCCTCCAACGGTCAAGTTAGTACTTGATTAAGGAGTAATTAATGCGGAAATTAGGATGAGGAGTCGCCTCTCGCCCTTGAACTGGCTTCCTCTTCAGTGAAGTGGAGGGCTTCTTAGCCGACTGCTCCTTGACTAGAGCAGGCGGCTTCTTGTTGATCAACTCTTGAATCTCTCCCTTGAAGTCCCTCATGAAGGTCATGAGTTCGTTCCTTGTGATGGGAGCAGACCCATCAGTCGGCTGCTGCCGAACAAGCGGTGCGCCTGCTGGCTCGCTTCCTGTTTGAAGATGTCCCCGTTCCCTTCTTTCGGTATGAGGGGTACGTCGGGCCCTTAGGGTCCCGTCTGAAGCTGTGTGAGCTTCAACTTCAAATTCACTCTCAGTATCATGGTCCGACTGAACTTGAGGGTCGTCTAGGGGACGCCTCTCTTCAGGAGTCGGTACAGACTTGGATGCCATCTCAGAAGTACTCTCCCCACAGACGGCGCCAAATGTTTCGGGGTTTTCTGATGTCCTGCGGGAGATTTACAATTCCGAGACTGGAACCGGACGCCTGTACCTGCAAAATAACGGAGACTCCTGGTGGTGGGAGCTCCGCCTCCAACGGTCAAGTTAGTACTTGATTAAGGAGTAATTAATGCGGAAATTAAAGTGAGTGGGTCTCTCTAGGTGAGAGTGTTTAATGTGAGTTTTTAGCGTAATCAGTGTGTTTTTTTCCGTCATCCCCCTTAATGAGGATTAAGGGAGGTATTTATAACCTTGGGAAACGTGCCAATCCTAGGTTTAGGTTAACCTAGGACCGATTGGGCTTTCCTCGGAAGTTGGGCCTGGGTGGCCGGTTTCTCCAGTAGGCATGGAGTATGCCACGTGTCATGACATAACAGGTCCAAGGTGGACGAATAAGTGTGTGCCACGTGACAAGCCCTGACAGTTCCAACTGGGGACACTTGGCAGGACCTGATTGGCCCACGTGGCGCATTCTGATTGGTGGGAGCAAAATCCCCTAATCACCTTCCATCATGGTAAAAAAAAAAAAAGGGAAATAAGTCAATAAGTAGTCCCTTGTCTACTCGAACCCTTTCCTTTTCTCCTTTTTCATCCCTTTGTTTGTTTTTCTCTCTCTTAATATTCATCTTCTTTTCTTTCGGAATACGAAATCCCTAATTCAGGCCATTGCCAATGGACCTGGTTTTTCCACTCTAAAGCCACCACTATCACCTCCCCAAACTAACCAAACCCATTTCTATCTATTCTTTATTATTATTTTTCTTGACAATTTTTGCTACCTGAAAAGCTCAACTTGGACATATATCTTCTGCTGCTTTTACAACCACCCTTTTTGCTTGTTTTAAAATAAAAAGCTTAATTACTCGATCAATACCCACTTTACTCGATCACCCAGATCGTCTTTTTCCAGATCTTCGTTAAAAGCTTCATGGGTAACTTTCTCTAACCCCTGATTTCTTTGTCTCCTTACTTTCTACTGATCGAGTCAACGAATCTTATGCTGTTGATCATATACTATATTACTAGTACTATATATATATATTTTTTTTGAATAACTACTCATCTATCTGAAATTATATATCAGGAGACATGGATTCAGGGAATAGTGGAAGTATACAGTCTTCGAGCACAGGCGGCGGCGGCGGCGGCGGTGGTTGTGGAGATGATCAAGAATACGACTCACGTAGCGGCGGCGGCGGTGAGTGTATCTCCGCGTTTTTTAACTCCTTCAGCAATATGGGTGGTGGTGGTGGTGGTGGTGGTGTTCCGCTTCAACTTTACTCTTTGAGTAATGGATCATCTTCGTTTACTAATAACAACAACAATCAAGTATCCAACTATTTTGATCAACCACCTACTTTATCACAATCTTCTTCACTTGAGTGTCCAAACTTTATGATTAACTATAATACTACTATTATTAATAATAATAATAATGGTACCAATAATAATGATAATAATAATAATAATAATAATAATAATAATAATAATAATCAGCTAGACATGGTGTGGCCCAACAAATTCTCTTCAATTCGACCGTCTTTGTCAACCGATGATGCCAATTGCACCGAGGGTCCTTTTGGCTACACCATACCCAACAACAACCACCAACAACAAAACCCACCTCGCCCACTTCCTTTACCTATACCATCCCCGCCCGTGACCTCGCCACTGTCCTCAACAGCACCAACTATTACCGGATCAGGTCGAAACCCCAAGAAGAGGTCCAGAGCTTCTAGGAGAGCGCCTACTACTGTGCTGACTACCGACACCAACAATTTCAGACAAATGGTCCAGGAGTTTACTGGCATCCCTTCACCTCCCTTCACCGCCTTCTCCACTCGAGGCCGATTCGATCTTTTTGGTGGCTTAGGTGGTCTTACTAGCTCCGCAGTGCCTCCCCCTAGTTACCTTTTAAGGCCTTTTCCACAAAAGATACCTTCTCTTCAACAACCACCGTATTTAGCCAATCATAATCCCTCTCTTCCTTCACATACTAGTAATAATACTAGTACTACTATTGATGGTCTAGGATTGTCCGCGACTCCAAGTTCTACTACGGCTAGCACTAGTATTAGCACCAGTGGTATAGCAGCAGCACCAGCTTCTGCCAATTTTCATATGTGTGATCCTCAACAGTTTCTTAGCACCAACCCTCAGCTCAGCTTCCAGTCTCTCCTCGAACAAACTTCTTCTGCATTAACTGATCATCATCACCAAGATTCGAGCATGAGTCTCGGGTGTACTACTGTCACACCTCTTCAGACTAGCTGCTCTGTTAATCCTGCAGCTGGTAACTACCGCGGCATCAGTGCTATTACTTCTGCTGCTGCTGCTGCTGCTGTCAATGGCGCCTCTGATAATAATGTAGGTGCCACTAAGGGTGAAGGTATGGTAGATTCATGGATTTGTTCATCTGATTAATTTATTAATTAATTAGTCGATCTTTGTTATATTTTGTGTATTTAATTGATTATATATGTAGCAAATTAAACTGTAAGTTCTAAAAAAATGATTATTAACTAGCACTAATTGGGGCGGGTTAATAGTTTTTAGCTAACTAAGCTAGTACGAATTATTGAAGTATAGTATTGTATGTAACTTATTAACCATTTGAGGATCTACAATCATCTGTACTGTGTATATATTGCTAATATACATGAGTTCTGCTTCATTTGTTATACTATTATATGAATTCTATCTCAATTTTATTTACTAAATTATTTGATCTCAAAACACACATCACTAGCTTAGGTTATATTTAATCACATAATTAGTGGTAGGAAATTAGGGGTTATATGCATATTTGTTTACTGTGTTTTACACTTAACTCTTATATCATATGCGTTAAAGAAATACACATACTCTATACTTTTGTATGACTGTATATTTAAAGTTTATCAACTTTTTGTCTAATATATTCGAGTAAATACAGGTAAAAATCTATTTGTAAGAAAGTCGAAAGGATTACGTACCTAGCTAATTAGGTGTGTTTGTTTTTTCAGTTACTGTTGTTTTTCTACAAACACATTTTTAATTGTTTATAGTTTTTTATTTTAATACATTAGCTTCATATGTAATTCAATTAGTAGTGCTACTAATTTTCATATTAATATCTTCACTCTTATATATCGGACTAGTTACAAAATATTCAAATTTATTAAACATATTTGTACGTCAAAACAATATCTAAAGTACTTGCAACAATGAGTATTGCTATACTACCCCATTTTTCAAAATTCTAATACATATCCAATATTTCATTTTTTTGTCAATGATAGTTCCTAAGGAGTTAGACTTCCTTTGTAATTATTTTTGCTTTTTTTTTAAACACTATTTCATATATTTTTACTCATTTTCTTATACTTTATCTAATATATTTTTATTAATACAATCATTAATCATATGAAGTACTCCGTATTAGATATTTTGTATTACACTTTATATTTTAACTAGTAACTTTTTTTTTTTTTTTACTCATTTTCTTATACTCTTATCACTTTGTCTACCATTTCATTTTTTCTTACTTTGTATTTGTTTCCAAACAGTAAATGTTACTAGTAAAACTTTCAGAAATAGATATTCTAATATTACCTCAATTGTTTGTAAATTCTACTCTTATCTTACTTTTTTTTTTTTTTTTTTTTAAGAAATTATTGATGGAATAATATTTTTTGTATGTAGATATGAGAAAATAATTGAAAAATGGATTAAAATAGCAAATAATGCAATCTAAAACGGAAACATCAAATTAATTAATTGATAGAGTACTTTGTGGTTGTCACTTTATTTTCGTCCTTTGAGATTAATTAATTGATAGAGTACTACGTAGTAAAATTTTGACAAAATCACAGAAACTTCCTTGTATTTAAGGTAGTGAAGTGAAGTAGTTATTGTTGGGTTCTAGGAGGAGTAACTGGCCCTTACTGCTAGGAGATTGTGCAGCAACCAATAACGAACCCATGATTTCTTCCTCGTACCCGTATTTGTGTCCTATGATTTTAATTTTTCTTTTAGTAAATTTGAATTAGTATTTAACTTCCTCAAACAAAAAATAAAATAAAATAACAATACATAAAATTAAATTAAATTCCCCTCAAAAAAATAAAAAAATAAATTAAATTAAAGGGGTGGTTTAGAGCAATGGTAAGAAGCAAATCAAGCAAAGATACGGCGTTGTCACGGAGTGAATGGTGGCGAAAATTGGGGAAATTATTGGTCGCCACAATCTTATGCTCAGATTTACCTCTCTTATCAAACTAACCATCTTTTTTTCTGGATAAGGTTAGGTACAATTAGACACATTAGCGTATAATTTAGTTGTTGCTATTGTTATTAATACTACAATTATTATAGTAATTGACAATCATGTTACTTGTTAATTAGTGGTTTGTTGCATTACAGGGTATCTGTAGATACTTGTTTAATATTGGTACTCAGCTCAACTAATTAATTTGCTAATTTTGTGATGTATATAGTCTTGAAAATAAAATTAATTATGAACATAAAGTATTGAGTGTGACGGACTCGTTAGGTACTCTGTATTTGGGGTGACAGATTTATAATCCGAGACTTTTAATGTTATATGTGATCGAGATTCATTGTTTATAATCCAAAAACTAAAATATGAAACTCGTTGCCGAATTGTATACCCGTTGCATGAGTAATTAACTAATTTTAATTTATACAGCAAGAAGTGTCCATTTCTACATGAAATAGTGATGTGGTCCAACCCAAGGCATAGAAAAGTTGTTTTCCTTTTTGTATCATCGATTAAAAGATGATGATCTATTTTTATTTATACCCCAATTATAGATCTTCCCGGCACCTTTCATTTAAATTTGGGTATTAATTATAGCTATGCTAGTGAAAACAAATTATACTCAGCAGACTTCTAAGTTCTAACTGTAGTAAAAATTTGCATAGTAGTAAAATAGTAAGTTATTCTTTTTTCCTTTAATTTGCTTTTCTTCCCTTTTAATGATCATCCCTGTTAAATCACCAGGCTACCTCAGAATTATTTGTCCCCCTTACAAATGATTATTATTGATTGGCCAAGTGTTGTGATTGATGTTATGTTTAGCTTATTTTATTTTTTAAATGGGTAATACTCTGTACATAATAATAAGTTTGTGCAACTAATATATATTTGGATAAGTTAGTTCAAAATGCAACATAAGTTTCAATAAAGTCAAGTAATATATGTTGAAAAAAATAACAAATAAGTTTACATAAATTCAAATAAAGTGAAACAAGTTAAAGCGGACAAACACACCCTTAACTCCTTAAGCATTTAAAAGCCTCTAATGCTAAACTACAAAAATTAACAAGACTTATGGTGAAATTTTGTTACAATACATTACAACTCTTGGTCTCATAATACATCATTGTAAATTTTAAATTTCTCACTCTGCCACATACAAGAATTAGCCTTTGACCTTAAGTATATATAAAGTGTATTTTTTTGAAAGTTTTTTTTTTTTTTTTTTTTTTTAAAAAAAAAAAAAAAAACTTGACATTATATGATTAATATCTAGATGCTAGAAGAATTGGGCCAAGCTATTGTTGGTAGCAATGATGGCTAATATTCTAAATCCATCTCTCTACTCAGAGAAAAGAAGAACACACGCTGTTTATTTTTAGCTTATTTGATATTACATTTTTACTTTTACCAAGAGGTTGTGTAATTCCAATTTGCAAAATCTGTAAAAAGCTGGAATAGTATGGTTAACTGGCAAAAGTGCAATTATATCTATCCCTCTTTTATAACATTACAAGTTTACAACCCAATAAATATTACTACTATATAGGCAACAAATGAGTAGTGTAGAGCAATAACAAGGAGAAGAAGGAGCCTTTTGGCTTTAGGCATCAACGATTCGCATCAAAAAGGCTGGCAGAAAATATTTTCTCTTGCTTGAAAGTTGAAACGAATGGCATCATTGTTCATCAGGGTGAAGCTGGATGCATATATTCAAATTCTCAACATTAGATGACAAAGAATGATATAAAATGGACCGTTTTCAAAAAGTATAGGCGGAGAAATAAAATACTACGTATATTACGTACAATATAATGTTATTTTTTGTTTTTTGTCATTTATAATGACTACTCTTTTTGCCTCATTATTTTTCATGCTCGTCTATTAATTTATTGATAGTTGACATAAAGATTTAGTATAATGGATAGAGAGAGATTGAGAACAAGTAAGAGAAAGCAAAGATTTGAATAGTTGAGTTAAAAGAGAGCTTACAATAATTTTTTTTTGTAAACAGATAACTCATAATTGACATGGTCACATGGATTTAATATAACAGTGAAAAAAATGGAAATCTATGACCTACTTCTTAATCTTCTTTTCTTCATTTTTTTTTCTCCCTCAAGGAAAGTATGTTACTTCTTTTTGCTTGTTATAAAAATATGTACTCGTATAAGTATGGAGCATGCATATAACTAATAACTAGTTTTAATTCTTTTAAAATAAAATTAAAATATTCTTTAGGTTAAACAGCTTCTCTTATAGTGTGTGGTCTTTTAAAGTTTTAATGTTATACAGATAGGGAGGAAAAGAAAAGTTGATTGAGTAGTACTCTTACTTAACATATGTCATATTCATTTTCGATATCTTTTAAGAGTTTGTTTTCTTTAAGATATTTTTTTTTTATTTAAAAAAAAATTCTTTGACATATTTTTCAATTGCACTAAACTTTTTATGTGTTTTCTCTACTTTTCTAAACCTTTTTTTTTTAATTCCATTTGTAAAAACAACGGTCATAGCTAATCCATGAATTTATTAGCCTATTATTTCTCTACTAAGGGAACAATATATGGTTATATTATTTTTTTTTTTTAAAAAAAAGGTACTATGGTCATATGCTTAATTATATCTTCGGTCTAATTTTAGGATTAATTCATTTATATATTAGCATCATAATATTTCATTTATTGCCAAAAAGCAAAGTTATAATTTGATGAAAATTTACATTTTAGATAATTTATATTCCCCTTGTTTTGATAGGGCCCGGGAGACAATGGCAATAGTTAGGAAAAATATATGCTATGATTACACATTTACACATTACCTTTATTCAAGGTAGTGAGATCTTAAAAAGCCTCATTTCTGAATAATATTGTATAGTAATTGTTTCGGATGAAAACAATCGAATCTCGGAAGATCCTTTTATCTTGAGGGAACTTGGTCTCGGTCCGAACGACGCCGGAGCCGAGGGTTTCCTGCACAACAAATACACGTAAACTAGCCTCGGGGGGGACGCCGAGGAAGGCCCCTCCGATGCTTAAGTCAGTATATTAGAGAGAGAAAGCTGTGCAAGAGTTTAGTTGCTTGAGGCTTATTGTCTTTGTCTTTCCACTTACCCTCCTTGCCAAGAATTGACCAAATTGTTGGCTTTTATACCTTGGCTAATGAAGGAGGCGGATTGGGCCCGGAAATCAGTTGGGCTGGGCCAAGCTGATTGGGCCGTTGACTGACCTTGACATGGCTTTGAGGATGTTGATTTTTGACTTTAGCATGTTTGGAGAGTTGAACCTTTGCCTTGGGCTTTTAATTGGATCATTCAGTGACCAGGCCCAATTGGACTAAATTGGACCCAAACAACTTGCCCCCCAGACCCGATTTGGAAGGATGACGGGTCGGGTTTGATTTAACCAGAAAAGGAGGGAAGTGAATGATTTGCTGATCCAAAAAT